ACGAAAGTGGCGACAGTTGCGCAGATCGCTGCCCGACGGCACGAGAGACGAGGAAAGGGGAACACAGGAAACATGAGAAAGATGAGAGGAGGAGAGGAGGAGGCAGAGGAGGATGTGGAGACCACGCTGCTCTATTCGAAACGAGTACCCAACACAGGAGGGTTGGGAACAGAGCATTATCCCTCCCGGCCCTGGTGCAAGCCCCTGCCCGCCTTCCTGTCAAGAGTAGTGTTCGGTATGACGACGCCCAGGAATGGATCAGGGCAGTCACATGGGTTGGATCGTTGCCTGTGGTCGGCAATCTTGGATGGCTTGAGCACGTGCAGCGACGGAGTGGAACCAAGCTCCAGGTTCTCTCTTACGAGTCTCGATAGCAAGCTTGGATGCGCACGGTGCATGACGACAGCGGGGGTACCGTCGACACTGATAAGTATGGCAAGGCCAAAAGTGTCCGACAGCTCGAGAGTGACAGTGGATTCAAACAGAGGCTTGCGACCGGTACGACTTCGGGGATACCTAGGAGTCGTGGTACGAGACGCCAGTAATGCGACTCCTGCGTCGATCGAAGTCGGCAACAGTACTTGTTGAACGCACTGCGGCGAACGCTTCGAGCTGAGGCGTCAAAACGAACACTCAGCATGTTTGTCGCGCCGCGGACAAGCGCTAATCTGGCTGTCACGCAAGTCAAGGCCTTTAAGCACAGACATGGTGAAGAAACCATGGGCGGGCCGTTACCATCAGCCGACCTTCCACTTCTCAGGCGCGAAAGCCATCCTTGCGCCATGCTCGCAACCTGTAGAACTTCCAAACTTTCTGGATAAACATTGCGGGGAAGCCTTCGGTCACAAACCCAAACGGCATATCGACTCGTCTCGTGGTGAGGCGAGAGGGATCTACATACAAGACCGATGGGGGTGAAGGACAAGGACTCAAAAGGCAGGGAGAGGGGGCGGGCATGAGGGGGTGGAGTGGTAAATCACAGGAGTGCCGAATGCAGATGCATGTGAGACTGAAAATCACACATCTTGCCCTGATCGCTTTGACTCGGACTCTGACCCTGGCACTAAGCAAGTAACACGATACGTTCACCCTGATAACACCTCTGACCTACATTTCACAAGCTCTAGCTCTATTTCTGCACTAACAGCCCCAACCTCGTATTTCCACTCTACTCTAAACATCTGCATACACGCATATACCTATATGTCCACCAGCACCCTCCGGGGGCGCAAGGCTGCGAAGGTGTGTGCGGTATGCTTTCATGTGTTGTGTGTTGCCATTTGTTGTTTGGCATTTCGTCTCTCCAGTCCTGTTTCCTGCCTCCTGTGTACTGTCTGATAAGAGGCCCCGCCGCGCCACCAAACAGCCTACCAGGGGGTGTGAACCTCAAATCCAGGCTGCTCTGGACCACCCCAGGGTTCTCATGGTGACGCCACCGCGCGGCCAGAACGGCCCGAGAGGCCTCCAAGATTGCCCGACGAGGCTCCGAAGAGAGCCTCAGGAGGCCACGAAGGCCCAAGCTGGCCCCAAGATGTCCCACGATTGCCCCAAGACGGTCCAAGATGCTCCCAAGACGGCCCACAAGGCCTCCAAGAGGCCCACGAAGCAAAAATGGACGATTCTCCTAACGTTTGGAAGGCCTTGTCGCCTTTTCGGATTTCCGACGCTCCGAGACGGACCAAGAGGTTCCCAAGATCGCCCCACGACGGCCCTAGACGGCCCAAGAGGCCCCGAAGACGGCCCCAAGACTGCCGAAAAGGGCCCCAAGACGGTCCAAGAGGCGCCCCAGACGGCCCAGAGGGCCCTGAGAGGGTACCAAAGAAAGCCCAAGAGGGAGTCCACGAAGCGAAAACTCTACATTTCCGCCCCCAAGGAGGTCCCCAGAGGCCCCCAAGAGGCCCCCAAGAGGCCCCAAGGAGACCCCAAGAAGCCCAAAATATTGTTACCAAGACGCCCCGAGGAGACCCCCAAGAGGCCCCAAGGAGACCCCCAAGAGGTCCCCAAGAGGCCCTAAAGAGACCCCCAAGAGGCCCCAAGGAGACCCCAGCGCAGCCGCCCGCACTGGTGAGGGGGGTGGCCGGCGGCAGAGGGCGAAGCCCTTCAGATCCGGCCGCTCCCGCCCTGCGGTGTGGGCCGTGCGAGACCTCTCTGACAGAGTGTTTGGCACAGTCTTTGGCCCCCTTCTCCAGTGCCTGGTCAAAAACCTCGTGAAAGTCCCTCCGAGGGGGCCCCACTCTGCCGCCGGCCCCCCGCCGGGCCCCCCCCCCCTTCAAGGTCACAAACGGCCCGGGGACGACCCAAGGGCGCCCCAAGCCGGTCCTAGAGAGTCCCGAGAACATGCAAAAATCATTGATTTTTGAATGGTTTTTGAAGGATTTTCGCGTTCTGGCCATTTCGGCTTACCCACGCTCCAAGACGGCCCAAGAGGCCCCCAAGATCGCCCCAGGACGGCCCAACAAGCCCCCAAGAGGGCTCCAAGACGGCGCAAGAGGGCCCCAAGACGGCCCAAGAGGCACCCAGAACGGCCTAAGAGAGGCCCCAGGACGGCCCCAAGAAGGCGCTCAGAAGGGGAACCCGAATGAACATTTCGGGCTTTCGGTCCCAAGAGGCCCCCAGGGGGCTCTTAAAGGCCCCCAGGAGGCCCCCAAGAGGCTCCAAGAGAGCCCCCAAAGGCCCCAAGAGGCCCCCAAGAGGCTCACAAGAAGCCCCCAGGAGGCCCTCAAGAGGCCCTAAACTCCCCCGCAGAGGCCCCGAGAGCCCTCTCGAGAGAACCCAAGAAGCGTCCACGAGGACTCCGACCCAAAACCCAAGCACGGTGGCGGGATGGGCCGCGCCACGTCACGACTTTCGATGCTGCGCGATCTTCGGCAAACTCCCAGGGAGCGGCCGGTGATGCGCCGCCGGTCCTCGATCCGGCCGATCCCGCCCTGCGGGTTGGACCATGCGAGACCTCTCTGACAGAGTGTTTGGCACAGTCTTTAGCCCCATTCGGCAGTGCCTGGTCAAAAACCTCCCTGAAAGTCCCTCCGAGGGGGCCCCACTCTACCGCCAGCCGCCCCCCTCCTCCAAGGTCCGGAACAGCCCGGGAACGATCCAAGAGCGCTCCAAACCGGTCCAAGAGAGCCCCTAGACGGTCCAAGATAGCCTCCAGACGGTTCCAGATCGTTCCAAGACGCCCAAGATGGCCTCCAGACGGAGCAAGACGCCTCCGAGACGCCCCAAGAGGCCTGCAAGAGCACCCCAAAGAGAGCCCCAAGAGACAAAACTCCTTGATTTGTCTATGGTTTTGGAAGGGTTTTCGCGTTCTCGCCATTTCGGCTTACCGATGCTCCAAGACGGCCCAAGAGAGGCCCCCGAGATCGCCCCAAGACGGCCCAACAAGCCCCCAAGAGAGCTCCAAGACAGCCCAAGAGGGCCCCAAGACGGCCCAAGAGGCCCCCAGGACGGCCCAAGAGGGGCCCCAGGACGGCCCCAAGAAGGCACCCAGAATGGGAACCCGAATGAACATTTCGGGCTTTCGGTCCCAAGAGGCCCCCAGAGGCCCCCAGGAGGCCCCCAAGAGGTCCCAAGAGAGCCCCAAGAGGCCCCAAGAGGGCCCCAAGATGCTCCCACGAAGCCCCCAGGAGGTTCCCAGGAGGCCCCTAAACTCCCCCGCAGAAGCCCCCGAGAGCCCTCTCGCGAGACCCTCAGAAGCGTCCATGAGGACTCCGACCCAAAACCCACGCGTCACGACTTTCGATGCTGCGCACCACTTCGGTAAACTCCCAGGGAGTGGCCGGTGATGCGCCGCCGGCGTCCTCGATACATATATCTATATATATATATATAGTGGCTATGCATATCATGGACTATTCGCTCCGGCTCAGCTCTACATCTGGCTGGTCTGCAACGTGGCCGACATCGACGGCGTCGGAACTAATCGGCGACAAGGCCAACGGCGACGGCCGACTCCTCGGATCAGGGTTGACAGCGACGCGGGCGCTCCATCTGAATCACGATGCCTGGAGGCAAGCCGATGAATAAGCAACGCACTGCAGTGAAAAAAGCTACATAATCAAGTAGGGGTTTGGAAGAACACGGGATCGAGGAGAAGAAGGATGCCCAGACCACCATACATATACCAAACCCATCCTCATGTTATAATTACCCCTCCTCCTCCTCCTCCGCTGTGCATCCTCCTCGTTCGTGAGCAACACATGGGTGAGCTCTGGTCCTCACCCTGTGGGGAGGACCCATCGCATCAACGAACTACAGAACGTGGTTTCGAGACCGATGGGCCCTCGATTGAACATCACACGTACACGTATGACCATCAGTATGCATATGTACAACAACGTGTATGCTCATATACCGCTGATTGATGTTCTGTCCACCGACAATCACAAACATCGCGCGGTGTCCCACTAGAGTGTCCTGACATGGCTTATGACAATCTGCAAAGGACCGTGCCATTTTCCACCACGCGCTTTTTACGGCCACGGGGGGTACGGACCAAAACTTCCCCGGGTATGCAGAGGCCCCCTCAACTGGGTCCGAGTCAATGGGGTCGGAGGATCGCGCCGCATCGCCGATGCATCGGCAACGTCGGCGATGCACCGGCGACGTCGGCGTCGAGAAATTCTGGCTCAAAATCGAAACGCATCGCCGATGCAACGCCGATGCGACACGATCCCCCGACACCATCTACTCGGGCCCCATGTTTGAGGCCGGGAGGGAGGCCTGGAGGACCACAGCTCCCAGGTTGTGGCTTGGAGGTCGCTGGGGGGGGGAAAGGGGGGGGCAGCGTTGTCGGCGCGCTTGATCCGTCAATAGCAATCCTGACGACCCCCATTCGCAGGAAGCTCGGATCTTAGGTTTGCTCTTGCCGACGATTGGGCTGCTTGGGCCTGCTTGTCCTGCGAGAGCGACGTACCCCCTCCCCCGGCGCCCCAAAAACACAGATCGCGTCCGCTGCCCCTCAGCGGGGTTCGTCGAGATGTGGCTGGCCTGCCTCGTACATTTTCGGAGCGCAGTGGCAAAACTACCCAGTGCCTCAACGGAGCAACGCGGCGTCCTGGCTGATCGGTGGCCCCGCGAGGCGCCGGCGGGCGGCGGCCCTCCTCAGGACTTCGCCTCGGAGGTGGACTGCCGAGATCTCTGCTTGGCCAGGGCCTTCCGGGAGAGGTGAGCTATCCACCCGACCGATCCTGGAACCTGGGCAGGCCGATCCTGCTGGGCGCACGCTCACACGGATCGGGGAAGGTACACTCGAGACACGGGGCCAGTGCCGCCCGATTTGGCGACGGAGCGCGCCGATGCTTCGTGAACGCGGGAGGCGTCTCGAATCCGCGCGGCCTGATCCATGGTTGCGATTCCTCGATCCTGAGTCCAGGAGTGGCGCACATGCCCCCTGGCCAAGCCACGAGGGCGTCTGCTCCGATCCTAGGCCCAGCATCGGCCCAGCCAGGACGGGTGGGGTGGATAACTGACGGCCCTCGAAGCCTTGCCGGCCTTGGTCTTGGGGTTCGGCACCGGTCGAGTCTCCTCGGTGGACTCCGCAACGAGCATCCACGTGCTCTGCACCTGCCTGTACACCACGTAGCCGACGGTCGTCAGGATGCCGAGCGTCCAGAGGTCGAAGTACCCGAGCAGGTGAATTATCGCGTACCTCGCTGGAGGTCTCTGACTCGAGGTCCCTGCATGGCGCCTCCTGGAGGTCCACCGAGGCCTCCGAGGCCCTGGGAGGTTTCCGGAGGCCTCTGGCGGCCCTCGGCCGCCCGAAAATATTCTAACAAAGGCCAGGGACAAACACTGAAAGCCATCCTCGTTCCTCGATCGCCCTCGAGGTACAGCCCGCCGAAGAAGCAGGCCACCTGCTTCATGGACAGCTCGTCCTTTGTCTTCGGCCGCAGGCTTCGGTGGTACTCCTTGAGGCGATCAGTGAAGCTCGACGACATCGGCTGCAAGGGGGCGGTGCGCCTTCGGAAGAGGAATGAGGAAATGAAGAGGAGGATGGTGGACGCAGCTCGTTTTCCCAATGTTCGCGATAACGCCCATTAGCAAGGTGGACGGGGACCCCCCGGCCCCTGGCAACGTAATGATTCGCGCTGGCGCCATCTGGAATTGGCTGAGCCAGTGGCAGCAGCACCGGACGTCGCCAACGGCGCCAACGCAAACCATGACATTGTCAGCACCATCCCCCATCCTCTGGCCTTCAGCGCCCCGGTAACCCCCGTCATCACCAAAAAGGGGGAAAGCGTGCCCCTGGAGGAGGAGATATGCCTAGCAGGAAGAGACACAAACGGGACCCCTTCTCGCAATGGGATAAAATCCGCCGACCCTGTCGGCGTGTGGCGCTACCCGCCCTTTCCCTGAGCCCTCCCCCAACCAAAACCAAAATGAGCAACGTCGTAAATGCGTCGACGGGAAACCCCTTCCCTTTGACCCCTTCCCGTCATGGGATAAGCTAGGCACACAAGGTTTGTTGACCATTTCCGGCCTATGGGGGCCCTGTCGAGACCACCAAAGGGGGTTCCCTTGTGCGCCAACATCACGACGTCGGGTGTCTGGGGGGGGAGAGAGAAAAAAGAGTAAGGACAGGGACAGGAGGGACTGAGAGACCTGGGCGCGCGATTTGTTCGAGATCTTCCTCTCCAACGGGCCAGCTTGTCCTCCTGATCTAGTTGTTGACAATCCTGGGGCCCGAAACTGGCCTCCAGAGAGGAACACATGTGCAACGTGCAACGAATTGTGTCTTGGTCTGTTCGAGCCGCCGGATCTCTGGGCAGGCGAGGGGGGAGGGAGGATGAAGAAGAGAAAAGGGAGGGATGAGCGAGGAGAGCGCTGAGGGCAGATAGACAAGATCAATCAACATCGAATCGGAAAACCGGATCGGATCGGAATGTGCCTCGGATCGGGCTGCACGGACTCGAGGTCGAATCGAGTCGGCCGCATTGGGATGCAAAACCAATGCGTGCAAACATCGGCCCGCATCGCATCGGCCGAAAATCGAAGTCAAATCGGATCGAGCCGGACGAAATCCGTATCGGATCGGATTCGTCGAATCGAACTGGGCTCTGGAAACATGTAGAGGGGGGGCGGAAAGTGAAGCACTTCCTATGATGGGCGCACCTGATGCTCGAGACTGGCTGCGGGCTGGGCCTTGGGCCGCTGGCGGCGCTCGAGCCAGAATTGCGGAGGATTGCGCCGGGGCCTACGGAGGATCCTGTTCCAGCGCAACAAATCCACACTTATAGCATAATGGTGAAAACAAGACAGACTGTCATAGTGTTCAGCCTCTGGGGTCATCTCGCCAGGCAATGGGACTGTCAACAAAAAAAGACTCGGGCTGAAAAAAGCCCTGGAGAGAGACGCGAGACCTCTCGGGTGCCCGTTGCGAACAAAACTGGGCGTCGGAGGTATGGGACTGTTGTCGCAGCGCGCCCGTCGTATCGATTGCCTGCAGTGATTTACGCAATCTGGTACCCTGTGATGAGACAGAACAGTGCTGGCATCTGTGGTGTGAACGAGTAGAGTAAAATCAAGCGCGCTCTGGCCAAGCTCTGGCCGATGAATTGGCATGGAGGACGCGGGTCCTGAATGAATTGTGACCTGGACCCGGGGGCCTTCTCCCAGGACCAACTTTCCATCTGGAAAAATTATTGTTTACACTCCTGAATATTTCTCACATTCCTGGGGTCCGCGTATGGCCTCTCGAAACCGTTCACGGACAAGAAACCCTACCTCACGGCCAGTTTCCTCAGGACCCCGTTCATTCATTGTGAATGGAAGAAGAGGGGGCGGAGGAAGGGTGACTGATCCAGGAGGAAGGGGGGAGAAGGGAGCTGGGAGGGTGGGGAGGACGGCGGTCGGTCGGACTCAGCTTCAAGGGTTCAAACCTGGGTTGTCTGACAGTCCAGCACATGCGCCACGCGCACGGGTCGCAGTGCCCCTGTCGTGCTAAAAGAAGAAAGAGGGCGAGCGAGGATTGAAGCGGAAGAAAGAAGGTGAGAGGGCGGAGAAGAAAAGAGGGAGGCTCATATAGGACGGAGGGGAGGGCGAGGGCGAAGGAGGCAGGGGAGGAGGGCATAGGAATTGGAGGAGGAGGGGAGGTGGAAGGAGAGGGAGGGAGGGAGAGCAGGTGGACCATTCACTCTGGCATGCGAACAAACGGAGCGATCACGCCTGCAACAGGAGCAGGCGATCACGCTCGTGCGAACAACGTCTTGGCCCAGGCCGGCGCACACCCGCACTGCAGGACAAGGATTCGTGCAAGCGGCAGCCCAGCGCTTCGATGGGTCGGTCGCCACCACTAGCTACGTACGAGGTTGCGTTGGCTTACCGTCCCGGGGGACGGGGGAAGGGGGTATGGCGCTCAGGATGGAGCCCCTAGTTCTGCTGGCATCCACATGTGAGCCCTACCCCTGCGAGTTAGGTATTGAAGCGCCAGCAGGGGCTCATAATCTCACCAGCCCATTCGGGCTGAGGCGGTCTAGCGCGCTTCCTCTTCCAACCTGCTTCTCCCTCTTCGAACCTGCTTCTAGGGTTTTATCACTGCCCCTTCTGGATGTACACCCCTCCCCCCTCTTCCAGCCGCTAACCCGTGCCAGTGCACCCCGTCCACACCGCACCATCCCTGTCAGCAGAGAAAAACCGGAGCATACACTGTGTTCCTGATCGGGATGGAGGGGGGCTGCCGAGTTGCCCCGCGTGTGCAGGCCCATCACCCCTGCCAAAAATATAGGCAGAACGCGTGGTGCGCCAAAAGTAATGGACCGTGCACGGGCGCCCTGCAAACTTGTCGCATGTTCACGACTGACTACTCGGCATGGATGATGGGGGTGGCATGGCACAAGCGGCCCACCTCGCGGGCGTCGCGCACCTGGCTTGCGTCTACATTGATTCCCGATCGTTGTCGGTGGCGGGCCCTGCCCATTCTGAGACTCGGATGCTACATGTGTGCTCGGAGGGCGGGTGGGAGTGAACGAGACGGTTGGCGCCTTGTGGGCAGATTGACCACTGCTCTGTATGAATGTGCACCCCCTGCCCCACCTCACTGGAAGCGAGCCCGGAACCATGACACCCCTCCACACGCCCTCCGTCGCCAAAGAAGAACGAAGACCGAGATCTGGTTCATGCGCGGACGCCCCGCGATCACCTACACGAATGTTTGACGGGGGCGACGGGATGGTCGGCACGTTGCCGTCTGTGTGCGATACCCCCCACACACCACCCCTTGCAAAAACAACACGCGCTGCACTTTGCATCACAATATGGATCATGCGCAGACGCACCGCGGGAACGTTGCAATCTATGCTGTTTTCTACGTTCTCGAGCGAGCTTGTATGTGTGAATTTGCCTTGGGTCAGGGCCGCGTGCATTGTACCTTGTCTTGTATGCACCTCTATGTTGCTCGAAGCTGTTTCGGCTCAAAGGGTTGCGGGCTCCAGCGAGCCCAGAGCCTCCGAGCAGAGGCACCAACCTGCTTCACTTGCGCACACTGCGGGCGCTTCTGCCAGGGCCACGGGGCGCGCGGGCGGCTCGTCGCCGCGGCACTGATTATCACCCAAGAGCTCCACTACCTCCTGCCTGAGGACGCGCGTCGGACCACTTCGCCAGGGGGCCCGAGGCCGATTCGGATTGGGACGTGGAGCTGGAGGTCCCCGCCTCAAAAAGCACGGACGCCTCTCGTTTCCCTATGGCTCCGTGGGCCAGGTGGAACCGTATCTACGTTCGCCACGGCAACCGCCCGACGGGCACGGTGGTGCTGCTGGTCACGCAGGTTGGGCCCGAGCATCCCGGCACGTTGGCAGTAGTCCACGGTACCAAGCGGATCCAGATGATCGACGTGCGGCACAAGAAGAGGGTGCTGAGCAAGTCCCTGGCGGCGGTGACTTGGACGGAGCACCTCGGCGTTGGAGCCGCGTAGAGGGAATCGATGATCACGGCGGCGGAGAGGGCCATCGCGCGCGTCGAAGTCGATGACGAAGGGGGAACGATGAAGGCGAACAAGAAAGCCAGCACCACGAAGAAGGAAACGAAGCAGAAGAAGAAGAAGAAGGGGTCCCGCAACGGTTTCGTGACCTGGGTGGCGGGCGGTGTCGGCAACTTCTTCACGGCTTTGTGGGCCAAGCGGGGCTTCGGGTCGTGGGGAGCCATTTCTTTCCTTCTCAGGCGGGTGTGGTGCTTCTTTCGGCTTGGATCGTTGGCCTGCGCGGGCTACGAGACGGTCGAGGAAGTTCAGAACGCGTTCGACTGGACATGGGAGTACCAGACGGGCGACCTGGAGTACGTCGCCGCCGTGGTCAATGGCATCGTGGTCCTGGGCTACCTGAGCTGGGCGTGAACCTGCGGAGGCCGCTCCGACGACTCCGACTCAGACCAGGGCTCCAACTACAGAAACGAGGATGGCGAGCGCATCCTCGGTGCTCAAATGGCCGACTGAGATGAGGAGCCCTCACCACGACGCCTCTTCGCGGAGCTGACGAACCAACAGCAAGAACTGCAAAGGTCGGTGGCCGAGTTGGCGGGCGCCATCCGCAATCGACATGCTCCGCCTGTGGGATCGCAAGCATCGGGGTCTTAGGGCAGCATCTCGGAGCAAGCGTCGGAGGCGGGGTCCCGGTGCGGCGTCCGTCGGCAGCGGATCGGACAAGGGCACCATCTCGGAGAAGGACCCGCACCCCAAGCACAGTCAGGTCGATGACTTCCTTGCGAAGCTCAATGAGCACGAGAGCGCGGTCCAGCAGGACTCTACGCGGGCCACGATCAGATCAGGCTCGCAGTCTCGCTCGACGGACGGCTCTTGGGAGGCTTTTGGTCAGCACACAGAACTGCAGGAGCTCATCCAGCTCCTCACGGGCGAGAGCTGACATCCTCGTGATGCCCTCCACCCTGGAGAAGTTCAAGAACGTGAGAATGCCGCCTGTGGGTGGAGTCAGGTCGAAGGCGGCTCCGACGGTGCTCCACAAGTTGTACTGGTCAGGACGCACGGCGAGGGTTGAGTTGTGCGAGTGGAAGGGATCCAAGGAGCTTCAGCGGGCCACGGTCAGCACCGAAGTCATGATGTTGGCGATGGTCTTGGACCGTATGACCGTATGATGTCGGAGGGCGCTTACGACCACCTCATCAATCACCCAGCCGCGGGACTGACCTGCCTGAGGCCCTGCTCCATCTGGAAAGCATACGAGAGCGTCAAGTGCCTGAGCGACTGGCAGCGCTCCAAGAACCACAGGGCGGGGGCAAGTGGCGCTCCAAGGTGGACTGGGCACTCGCGAATGAGTACCTCAAGGTGGACGGGGACCAGGAGCTCACCAACACGAAGGCCGACGACGAGGTGACGAAGAAGCTGAAGAGGAGGGCGACCATCGTGAAGCACCAGCAAGGCTCGAAGGACGTGCATGATGCGGGTGGCGACCGCGAATGGGTTGCGGCCGGGGCTCCCGTGGCAAGCGCGCTCGAGGCGCTAGACCACAACTTGGGATCACGAGGTGGGTACTCTGGCTGCTCACTACGATCCATTCGTCAAGGATCCCGACGTCCATAGAGACAGCCGGCTGGTGCTTGGCCGCGTCCCCGTTGGTGATTGCCTGCTGGGGCGAGGCCTTTTTCTTCAGGTCGGAGCTGGGCGTGACCGACACCGACCTCTCGGGCAACGACACATTGTTTCATGGTCGAGGCGCGAATCGCCTGGTGTTCCCGACCTGCGGGGACGATGGAGGGGAGAGAACGCGCGAACATTACCCTCCCCACAGAGAACGCCGTTTGCCGGGCCGTCTTCCCAGGGCCTGGACGGGAAGATGTCCCAGCTGACGCTCATGTGGGTCCAGAGGAGTGTGGCGGCTATCCGTGGGCTTGCGGCGGGCCATTTGCGACATGAGACGCTTCTACTGAGAAGGAGGAGGGATTGGCGAGAATGGAAGGCGGCGGCCCCATTACAGGTTACCATCGTCAACGAGCTGTGGGACCCGCACGCCACGTCGGAGTGCTGGGGGGCCATCAACGACGGCAGGGCGGCCCTCAGCCTCCTGGGGGGCGAAGGAGTCTCGGGCTCGAAGACGAGGAAGACGATAGGGTGCTTCAAGGACGGGCACCCGGGCACCCGGCACCGGGACCCGGGCACCCACCCGGGCACTGGGCACCCGTCACCCGGGCACCCGGGCACCCGGGCATCCGGGCACCCAGGCCCGGCCACCGAATCGGCGGCGAACCCGGGCACCCGAGCACCCGGGCACCTGGGCCCGGCCACCGAATCGGCGGCGAACCCGGGCATCCGGGCCCGGCCACCGAATCGGTGGCACACCTCACCTACCCTCAAATCCGCTAGGACCCCTACAGAGACAAGCTGTCCCCTGAAGCTTGGGATCGCTATATATACACATATATGTACCGAAACCGTGCGACGACGATAGTGGGATTGGGGCAATGTCTTCCGTGATGGGATCCAGCTGGGCGGCCTTCCCAGCGCACAGTTGCTTGGCCGACACCTTGGAGGAGATGCGGGACATAAGCCTCGCCCATACCACGCATGACCGTCCTACCCCGTCATTGGAGGCTGTGCAGTTGATGCTCTTATTGCACATCGACGACTACATCGGGCTGAAGCTGTGGGCGGACGACGGCGACGAGCTGATGTTCGAGAAGGACAGGGTCAGGACGCACCTGGAGGCGAATCGCTTGAAGGTGCACGAGGAGGACTGGGGGGATGGTGTGGTACGAGGTTTGCGTTTGAGCATCGGATCAAGCCCCTGCCGCTTGCGAGTCGTCCAGGACACGATGAGGGATCTGGCACTGGCTACCGAGGCTGTGGTGGTGTTGGGGAGGGTGACCCCGAGCGCTTTCAACGATTTGCTGGGTATGCGGACGTGGGCTATCATGAACATGCGGCTTGCGTTTGCCATCTTGGATGCGACCTACCACTGGGTCAATGAGTTCGCGGACGAGGAGGCTTCGGAGTGGCAGAGCCTCGACATGCAGACGAAGAGCGAGCTCCAGGCGCTGGCCTCGATGCACCTGCACCTGAAGTCAGATTGTGAGACAGCCAGGCTGGAGAAGGTCTACATGCCAGACGCTTCGGAGGAAGGTTTCGCCGCTGTGGTGACGGAAGCCCCCCTCGAGGAGGTCAGGATGAAGACCAGCCGTGGAGCCATCAAGTCGTGGGCTGTGCATGCGGAGTAGGCCTGCGCCGAGATCGAGGAGGAGGTGGCCGCGGAAGAGGACGATGAGGACGGGACGATCTCTCCAGAGATGGGGAGGCCCGGCTTTCTGGAGCTCGTCGCGGGCAGCGAGAGGCTACTCGAGTTGGTGCTGGCCCACAGCCTGTCCTGGGGCGGGGACTAGGATCTGAAGATGCGCCGAGTTCGACCTGCTCAGCGTGGTGGACCTAGAGAGGTTATTCCGACGACTACGGTGGGGATGGTGGCGGTGGGTTCACCTGGTGCCACCTGCTCTACTTTCTCGAGGGCTCGGAGGCCACCTTTGCGGTCAGCGGAGCACCCCTGGGAAGCACCAGAATTGTCGGAGATCGAGCTGCAGGAGACGCAAGCGGGCTCGGCACTGTGCTTGGTGGCAGTCCAAAAGGCGCTCGTCTGGTTTCGGGGATGCATGTTTTTCGTGATCGAGAACCCCGGGTCCAGTCTCATGTGGAGCCACCCGCCGATGGTCAAGTTCCTCGACAAGGGCGAAGTGGTCAAGGTCAACCTGACTACAGCATGTACGGCGAGGACTGGAAGAAGGGCACCAACCTGGTCACCAACTGCAGGGCTCTGGAGGCTTTGGAGCTGAGGTGCACCTGTCAAGGTAAGCGCGGACTCTGTTCGAGAACGGGCATGCAACATCAAGAAATACGTGGCAATGCTCCGTGTGGGACCACATTGACGAAGCTTGTCTGTCCTGACCCCGTGCCGTTCTGCGAGGCCTACGCGAGAATGGTGAAGGATGTCGAACCGTGCTGGCACGGGCTACCGCGAGAGATGAAGGCGCGAGCGCAGCAGCTCTCGCCGAATGAGACCTGGCTTGCCGAGCAGAGGTGGAGGATGCTTTTCCAAGGCCGCTGGCGGAGGGAGGACCACAACAACGTGCTGGAGCTCAGGACGATCATCGGGCTCTTCAGGCACCCCTCGAGGACGTCAAGGTCGTGGAGGTCCAGGGTCCTCATCATGACCGACTCGCTCGTGAGCCTACGGGTGCTGGTGAGGGGACGCAGCTCCACGCCAGCGCTTCTGCACCTGGCGAGGATGGCGGGCGTGATTCAGCTGGCCTGCCGGCTGGAGGCATTCTAACGTTGGGTCCCATCAGAGGTGAACGTGGATGAGGGGCCCTCACGCTTCGTGCACCTGATTGCGGCGGGGGAGACGACGCAAGGCCAGTGGACGAGATATACACCAAAGCGGCTACTTCACTGACTTCGAGGACTACGGCAGCAAGGCCGAGTTGGTTCCTCTCTCTGATGCTGATGGCGACTAATATGCAGCGGGTGACAGCCGCTCCGAGAGGATCCAAGCCCCCTCCGATCAAGAAGAGGGGGAGTAGAGCATGGGAAGCTGCGCGGTCCACACCCCTGAAGCACAACACCTGGCTGGTCATTCACGCGGTCGACGATTACACCAACGTCCAGTACGGGAGGGCTGCGAAGGAGTTCCTGGTGGACGTCAAGCGAGGCCAACTCCCCTTCTCCACGATGTGCGAGCGGGGCAGGACCCTGGCGAGCCACCTCTGCTACGTGCAGGGCGCGAGCTTCATGGAACCCAGCTCTTGCTTCAACGGGTTCACGCACAGGTTCGAGAACCACAGGAACCATCTCCCAGTGGCCGCCAGGGCACCCAAGAGCTGGGAACGCACGGGCTTTGGAGGTGAAGGTGAACCGATCCCGATGGAGGCCATGGGTGTCATCATCCAGACCGCCTTCGAGCGCGGGGAGATCCTGGAAGGCGCGGCCTCCCTCATTCAACTGGACGGCTGGCTACGTGAACAAGGCTAGTGCCAACTGCGGAACAGAGATATCAACAATCCAACGGGATGGCCGCATAGCGCTGGTCCTGGGAAGGCGGAAAGAGAGGAGAGAACGTCAAGACGGGCGCTGATCAGGGCGTCGAGATGGAGATGAAGGTGAGCAAGGCTGTGAGTCAGGCTCTCATGGACGGCATCGGCGGTGACGAGCTGGTACTGGCCGTGAGCCAGGGCTGCTCCAGACGGGCATGGGGGGAGGCTGCTGCCCGACCTCCAGCTCGAAAACCTCGGGCCGCCACACGGCATTAGGCACGCCGCGGCTGCCAACTTCGTGGCCGCGGGCGGGCGGCCCTGCGGAGGCACGACGGCGGAGAAGATGGAAGAAACCAGGCGCGCTGAGTCGCTACACGAAGGTCCACACCCTCATCAGGAGGCGCGCGGAGCTATCTGAAGACATGGTGCTACGTGGCAGGAGGTTCTGGAAATGACCAGCGAAGCACATCAAGAGCGCTCGCGACCTCCCACGCTGCGAGCACCTCGCTGGCGCAGAGGCTGACGGCCTCTCTCAGGAAGGTGAAGGACGACGCGGTGTCCGTCTTCGGAGCGGAGGCCGCGGACACCAGGGAGCCATCGAGTAAGGCCTCGTCAGCTCACCGCACGAGGTTCCGACGCTCGAGCCAGTCTGTCTTCCTCCCTCTCTCTCTCTCTCTCTCTCTCCGTTATGATAACAGTCGAGCATTCAATTCGGGTGTTCAGGGTTAGCCATAAAGAGGGTTGAAGCTATATTACTTCTTGCTCCTCTTGCCTCCCTCCCTCCAAGCCGTGTGTTTTGAGAAGCCTTTCGGCCAGTAACTTCCATACGGCAGGGTGCGGATTATCACATTATGTTTTCTTTGCGAGATGCGCCCCCTCGCAACGGTCAAGGTTCGCACGTGGCACCGGTTGCGCGTGTTGCTCACCTCACGGTCGCGAGACGTTCCGTGATTGAAGCACTTCGGGCGCGTGGCCCCATCTTGTGTCAAAATGGTTCGCACGGGCTTTCTCTCATACTCATGATGGGATTATCCGCCCGGCCCCGCTGGTGTCTGGCCCCATACCCCCTCAGCAGCATGACATGAATTCTTGTTGATCGACGCCCTGCCAGCCCTGCAGCAAACATCTGACGTGCACGCGCGGGAGCCACGCGATCACTTACGTTGGACTTTGACAGGGGCCCCGGGGAGGCCATCATGTTGCCTGCCGTGTGCAATGCCAACCCCCCCCCCACCACCCCTGACAGGAAATAGTGCAGAACGCACTCTGCCCGTCACGAGAAGAACCCATAATTCACTCTGCTAGGAACGGCGGGGGGGCCGGCATGCTGTGTTCAAGCTCACCATCCACGGTAACGAAGTATACCAAGTGAGCTTACAGCATGAGGTCATGAACTCAATAAGGAGAGGCTCGAGAAGGACGAGATGTGAACAGGGACGAGGGAGGGAGGAGGGGAAAACTGAGGGGGGGCAGGAGGATAAGCAGGGAGAAGGAGCAGGAGAACGAGGAGAACGAGGAGGAGGAGGAGAGGATAGAGGAGGTGGAGGGATGAGGACGAGCGGTGTTTCTCTCCTGGCGCACGCGTCGCGTGCCTCTCGGCGCACGCGTCGCGGAACGAGGCGGTCTGCATTTCCAGCAGCCGGGAAGTCGCGCGGGCCACCGCGAAGGCCACCTCCCGCAGGGACCGGCCACCGCCAGCGCCCACCTCGGCCACGACAAGTTCGTGTCGTGACGACTTCGGGGCTGGTCTCGCAAACCACGTGGACCGCTCCGCCTTGAAAGGTCGGCGGCTTTTGCCTCGCCAGATGGTTCCACACAGGCCGATTCTGGGCACCTGCTGGCGGCGTTCAACCTTGAACGCCAGCGCTGGGGTCGTCGCCGCGTCTGGAGATCGTTTGCACGACATGAACGCACTCAACTCGCAAGAGCGTGCCCCGTTAGCAGAAGAGTGGCCTCCGGCGCGAGGCCTGCGGATCGTGGCGCGGGGTGCGACAATGTTCGGCAGCAACTCGTGGGAGGTCTTCGTAAGAACGAGTAGGTGCTGCTAGACCCGATGAGAGGGGCACTGAGCCGAATTAGGCTGGACTGAGACCAAGATCACGCCAGATCGAGCAGGATTGAGCTGGCATAGGTGGAACTATGCCGATGCCCGACCACGACTATACTGGCGCCGATGCCGAATGTGTCTTCCCAGGAGTTGCCTCCAAAACAACACTACAGCGGCCTGCGTGCTTCAGTTCGCCCAGCGTCCCCTGGAACCCGCGCACCAAAGGCCACCCAGACGAAGGGTCGCTCCAGATGTTCAGAAGACCACCTGCGACACCGCCCGCAGGTCCACGAGATCCTCCGGGCCGTCTGCGGCGGAAGTGAGCACCAGGTGGCAGTGCCGCTCGTAGCAGTGGTCCAGCAGCCAAATCCACCGCTGGATCTCGCTGTGCTCTCCGCCACGCAGGCGGGGCACGTCGGCCACCTGGATGGAGCTGAATTGGCCGCAGATCGCTGAAAAGTCGTCGGCGCTCAGAGGCGCACAGCAGAGATCCTGTCGGGGCGGACGAGAGGGGGGATGGCGGATGGCAAAGGAGGGCACAGCGGATCAGCTGCACTCGGGGGTTGCCGAAGGTGTCCCTGGCCTGAGGCGGTCCCAGCTTGCTGTGCCGCTGTGGGACCCCCGGGTCCCTCTAGGCCTCGTGTGGGATGCGGTGTCCTGGGGGCACCTTGGGCCAGGGACACCCTTGGCAACACCCGATGCATGCAGCTAGCCCTCCAGGCGCCGCACTCCAGGCGTTGCCCGGCGCCTGGAGCGATCACACGTCGAGAACAGCGCTGGGCAGCGGGGATGAAACCAGCCTCATGCAGCAGATTTAATATCCCCCGCTCCCCAGCCGTATCATTACCACCGTCAGAAACCATCATCGTCATCATCATCAGCAGCATCAGCATCAGCATCCACAACATCATCATCAGCAGCATCATCATCATCAGCAGCATCATCGTCATCATCAGCATCATCATCACCATCACCATCATCATCATCAGCATCATCATCATCATCATCATCATCATCATCATCATCATCATCATCATCATAAGCATCAACATCATCCTCATCATCATCACCGTCACCGTCACCATCATCAGCATCAGTAGCAACATCATCATTAGCATCAACATCAACATCAACATCAATATCAGAATATTCAGCAGCAGCAGCATCGTCATCATCATCATAATCATCATCAGCATCACCATCGTTATCACCATCACCATCACCATCACCATCACCATCATCATCACCACCATCATTAACATCCACCTCCTTATCTCCCCTCTGATCATCATAATCAGCATCCTCATCGTTATCATTAGACGACCATCGTCACCATCATCATCACCAACTCCATCACCACCACCATCACCATCACCACCATCACCAACAACAACAACATCATCATCATCATCATCATCATCATCAGCATCATCAGCATCATCATCATCACTCTCAACCGCAGTGGGGAAGAACGATCGCAACAATCGAAACCCGCGCTACTGGCAGCCAGAAGATTCCACCACCTTCTTAGGCCACCCTGGTCCTGGAATGCGAAGCGGGCTTGGGTGCCACAAGTGGACTGCAGAGCGTGGATCGACCTGCCGTAGGCCAGCCTCGCGCCTCTGAGCGCCAGCGCCAGCGCGCCGCCGGTGCCGAGGGCCCGCTCGTCCAGGAAGCGCGTGCCCTCCAGCGAGCCCGGCGGGCAGCGCCACAGGAACGGGGAGGCCCACCCGGCGGGCGCGGCGTGGGCCAGGCGTGCCCTGTGGTCTGTCTGAGAGTCCACGTGGTGCACGTCGCAGTGCTCACGGATGGCCTGCACCAGGCGCGGCACGTGAACATGGCGATTGAGCCCCCCGGAGTATAGGTCCTCTGGCGCCCGATTCGAGGTCGCCACGACCACGACGCCTCGCTCGCACAACGCGCGCAGCAGCGGCGCCAGCACCACGCAGTCCTGGATGGTTGTGATGGCCACCTCGTCGAAGCAGAGCACGTCGATCCTGCTGGCCAAAGCATGCCCCATCAGCTCAACCGACGTCGGCTCCGCGCCCTGCCGCGAGCGGTGCACCCACGCCGCAGCCATGCCCGTGCGCCGGCGCCCCACGTCGTCCTGTTCGCCCAGCAGCCACCAGCGCTCAGGCAGCACCAAGAACGGACTCAGCGAGGTGTCTTCGGCCACCGCCGCCGACGCCACGGACGTGGCCAGAGTGGGCGAAGGCACATCCAGGGTGCAGGAGCCGAGGTGCCTGGCTCTGTGTAGCTCGGCGTGCGTGGCCTGCAGGAAATCGTGCACGTGGGTCCGGCACGCCCTCAGGCTGGGGACGCCGGCACGCACGCAAGCAAGGAAAAGGTCCAGCAGCAACGTCTTCCCGGCACCGACGCTGCCGTGCACGTAGAGGCCGCCGCCGCGGCCGCCCCGCCCCTGTGAGCCCGTGGGCCCTGGGTGCTGCAGCCGCGCGAACAGCTCTGACAGGCACTGCAGCGCGTGGGCCTGCGCTGGGTCTGCCTCCAGCCGCCCCGCCGCCGCCAGGTGCGCGTGCAGGGCCGCAGGGCCCTCGCGGGCGGCGGCCAGCGCCCCCGCCGGGAGGGCACCGAGGCGGCCGGCAGAGGCTGCGGCGTGCGCCTCGCGCCACGGGGACACCGGCGTGTACGCGTGCCCCTGCGCCCCTCGGCCCGCGTCTCGGGCGGCGGAAGCCACCGCGGTCTGCGCTCGGGGCGGGGGGCGGCTCTGCTTCGGAGGACCGCCGGCGAGGCGTCCCGCCACGGCCGCGGCCAGGCGGCTCAGTGGGCCCGACTGGTAGGCGGTGCCTCGCAGCGACGCCTGCTGCCATCGGAGCACAGGGCGCGCTGCACCGGCCGGTGCGGGACACTGCCAGTTCCGAGGTGCGCGGCGCCGCAGCCACTGCCGCATCTGCGCCCGCTGGCAACGCAGGGGGCGCTGCCGAGCCCGTGACTGCGCGAGCCTGGATAGTTTCGGATGGGGAGCAGGGGCAGGAAGTGGGCGTCCGAGCAAGAGCGGGCGGGGGACGCGAGGTCAACCACGAGGAGCCTCGCAGATGTGCTGGTCCACTCGGACCGCTTGCTAGTTTCGGCCCCGCGCTGGGGAAAAACATTGCCGTATTCCCTCTCATCGTCCTGCTGGTCGTCGCTCACGTCCTCGTCCTCATCCCTATCATTCTTCCAGATCTGGGCTTAGAGTGCCACTCCTAGACAGCACACAGCAGCCTTACGTTGTGACCCTGGGGGTATCACTATCTTTGCTTCCTGGCATATCAGTGCCCTGACTGGGAACACGGTTTGGTCGCCGTGTGGCCAATATCAGGTGTCGGGTTATCGCCACTCTCATTTGAAGGACGTCCTGCTTCGCGGGAATCGCGGCTTTACACGACCAAATGTTCAGGATGGTGGGAAGACTAGCTCCGTGAAGACAATGTTCAGACATGTAACCCCCATCTCCGACACGACAATTGCTGCCAGACTCCCCCTGAGGACTGCCTGAGGCAGTAGCAATGCGGCCTCTATCGATCGGTCTGTGCTTTCTGATGCGCGCACGCTGCGGACCTGCCGTTGTGCACTGTGCGACTGAATCCAGATGTTGAGCACGACACATGTTGAACAATGAATTCGACTCGAGACTGCCAACTTGGTCGTCAAACCGGGGTCGCGGCTACCACTTTGCAAATGATGTCAATTACGCTGTCCATGAAGAACACCGACGTGCACAAGGAGGGGTGGAGAAAAACGACGACAAAGACGACGCCAACAACGGTAAAGTACGGGCGCGGCCGCAAGACACCCTCGCAAGAAACCCATCCCTGAGAACCCGCGCGCGAGGTGCCCCTGAGTGGAAACCTGGAGCACCCTGAACGCAGCAGCTCCTTCAACGGCTGCGGGAAGTCACCGCGCAGCGCGAGGAGCGAAGAAACCCAGGATACCCTGACGAACAGCATATGGTTTCTTGATGCGCGCCCCCACTGTAAAGAGAAGGCAGACGAAGAGCGAGAGGGAGGAAGATGAGGAAGACGAGAGGAAGGAGGGTGTGGGGGCTGACGAGGCGGAAACTATGAGCGACCTCGGCGTCGCTTTCGCAAAGAAGCCCACAAGTCTCATGCTGAGCGGTGCTATGCTATGCCAGGCTGCGCAACCGTAGAATATGCTCTGCTATGCCGTGTTGTGCTGGGAAGTGCAATGCCATGCATCGGCTGCGCAATGACATGTTGTCGTACGCTGTGCTATGCCAGCTGAACCATGCAATACCATGCAACGCTGTGTCACGCTTTGCTTTGCCATTCAATAACATGCTGCAAAATGCTGTGTTCAGCCAGTGGAACGCAGCGCTGATGTGAAATGGTACGCTAAAGTTCAGTGCAATGGTATGCATCGCAATGCTGCACGATGCGCTGCGTTGGATGGCCCAAACCTTTTTCGATACGAAGTAAGTAAAAGCACCCAGTCTTGGGGTCGAGCGGCAGGCGTATCGTTAGTATCGCTTCCAGCGGCCCACACCAACCGCAAGCCCCCAAGGACCCCCCCTTCTCTCCCCCCCTTCTGACGCATTCATCCTAACACGTGCCCACATCGTACTCCAGGCCCCTACGTCTCTGGCGGCAACAATACAAGCCCACCCGAATGGCATGGCACGAAGTTGCAGTTAGGAAGCCCTGTGCTGACAGCACGAGTTCCAGAATCATGCCGCTGACATGAAGGAGTGTGGGCCCTGGCGGGTCCAGGTAGACAACTGCCTCATCGTCCCCCCAACTCTGGTCTTCCTTCTGCTACGAGGCGCAGTTCACCATGCCTATCCCAGGCTGCGTCCAACCCCCTTGTTCCCAAATATTCTCCTGGCCTGGATGGTCGCTCACGTCCAGATCCGCCTTCTTTTCCGACATCAGCTCAGCATAATAGTTTGCCTTGCTATGACGCGTGCTCGGGAACGGGGAAAGCTATATAAAAGTGACCTCATGTGAGCTGCAACATCCAAGCTGGGACTAGGCTGGAGCGGAGGGAAAGGAAACGGTGACCATAACCATGACTGGGCGCGGAAGCGTCGGTGACGGTCTTGGTCATCGTCCACTTTGGTCAGTGCCAAGTCGCGGATCATCCTCGCGGATCGGCGACGGCCGGCATTGACCATCACCAAGATCGGCGTCGACAAAATCCCGTGACATCTTGGTCATGGTCTAGAGGAGGTAAAACGTCATAAACAGAACCTGTCGGAGGTCCACGCGCATTTCTTGGATCGGCGCTGGACCACCTTCCCAGGCGCACAAAGCGCGGCAGGGGCGGCGCCGGAGGCGCCGCCAGGGTGGGCCCACCGCAGTTCCAAGAGATCCGAGCGGATCACCAAAAAATGTATACGGATGCCGTCTTTTCTTCTTTGATGGTCACCGTGTTTCCTCCCTCGATCGAGAGCTGATCGCCGCTTAGGCCCTAGAGTCACTTCCAGTAGCGACAGACCGCGATGCACATGGCGATGGGCACGCCCGTCGGCACGACAACGCTCCAGAAGGGGTTGCCGCTCTGGGGCGTGTAGCAGTCCTGCCACATGGTCCAACCCTGGCCGCTGCTCTCGTTCAGCACCGCGCGCTGGGCGGCCATAGGCGGCACGGGGAGGCCCTGGCAGGGTGCCAAACGACAGACGCAGACATGCGGTCGGGAACGCCTGCTGAACGCGTCGCTCCGCCAGCTCTGGCCCAACATGCATCGGCGCGACGCGCCAACCCCGTCCGAGCTCCCAAGCGTCAACGTCCCGAGCCTTCCCTGGTCTCCCGCCTGGTTGAGCGTAGCGACGCGCTGTCCGCTTGCAGGGCATAGCGTGTCGCCGTGGCCGCCGCCGCCACACGCTAAGCAGGAGTTCCTGACAGTGACACGGTCAGAAGTCCGCACAGATGTTGGTTTCGCGTCGGGCCAAGGTCGTCCAAGGCGACGGCGCAGCCGGAAGTAGCCCGAGCCCACAGCGAAGCCAAACCCGGGAGAAACCCGCGTGAAAGAAAGAAGCGACACGGCAACGACGCAACAGCCGACCGAACCGTACTGACCGAACGCCACCGACTGCGACGCAGCCGAGATGACCGAATCGTGGGCACCCCTGGGGGGTCCCCGCGCCACTTCCCGCGCGCCGCAGGAATGGCCGGGAGCGGCGCCAGAGGCGCCACCAGGAGTGGCGCAGAGGGGGTTCAGCAAGCAAGATATGTCGAAAACCTCCTGCCTCAGCCCACGCCCGCGGCTCGCTTGATGGCATTCGTTCGAAGCCAGGTGTGTCAGCTGTCTCTACTCTCTTCTCTGCCTCTCCTCCTCCTCCTGCTCCTCCTCCTCCTCCCCCTCCTCTGTCTCCTCCTCGTCCTGCTCCTCCTATGCCTCCTCCTTAACATCCTCTGCCTCAGGGGGACTAGCGTCGACACAAGGAGTTAGCGCGGACCTCCGAAAAAATGGGATCGTTGCTTAACTCATGGGGGGAAACGCGTGTTACCCAGGGGGGGGGGGGCGGGGGGGTAACAGCAACGCCGGCCAGAGCGTGCACCCGCCAGGGTGACTCCGAACCACCAGCACATCAATCGATGTATATACCACAGCCCTTGTGTACACGACAGTGCTGAATTCCTGCGTGCCAGTCTTTGTGCACACGACAATGCCCAATGCCTGCATACAACACAGCGCCGCCTGCATACACCACAATGCCTCCGTACACCACAGCAGCCGCGCGCACCGCAACACCACGTCGCCTGTGTACACCGCGGTGCCTGTGTACACTGCATCAGCCGCGTGCGCAACAGCGCCTGTGTACAGGACGGTGCTTGCGTGCACCAAAACTCTTGTGCACACCACAGCGCCTGTATACACAACAACAACCATGTGTACCACAACGCGCGCGCACACCACAACACGTCCATGCACCACAACGCTTGCGTGCACACCACAACGCCAAACATGCCATCGGGCGCGCTACTAGCTTGCGAACACCACTCTGCGCTGGTAAGCGCCACAGTGCGCCGGGGGCCTGCCACGAACCAAAAGCCACGGGCGCGACCAGGGCGCGACGAACGCTTGACCACCGAACGCTCAGGTCCCGAAGGAAGCGGGCCCTGGGGCGCCCGCAGGACGAATTCGCCAGCCAGGATAGTTTTCTGACGGCCCCAGGGCCCGCCGAAGAAAGTGAATCGAGGCGGGAGGTGGGAGAAGGTATGAAGACTTGGGGCGTCAGCTGTACGGTAGGTCCGTGTCGTGACGCCTTGGAATTGTGTCTCTGACGCCCCGTGGATCGGTCAAATTTGAACGATCTGCGCAAGCGGACACTCTCGGCCCAATAATTATTGGAAAGTGATTTCGCACCGCAGGTTTGTTTCTGATAGTCCTTGGACCTGGAAGGCCCACCCCCGGGCGCGTCGCAACCTTGAACGTCCGCGCTGGGGTCGCCGTCGCGCCTTCTCTACACCAGCGAACGGTCTGCAGCCAGAGGCAACAACGGACGACAACGAGAGCCCGCAGGCACCCCCCCGGTTGGGCCACCAAGCTGTGAATATGTTTTTATCTGGCTACCTCCCCCTTCCCACCTCCTACTCCCCCTCCGCCTCCTCCTCCTCGTCGTCCTGCACCTCCTCCTCTGATATCATTATGCTGCAATGCAGCGCCTGTGTACACCACAACGCACGTGTTCACCACAGCAACCGCGTGCACTACAACGCCTGAGTACACCACAATGCTTCCATGCATCACAACGCCCGTGAACACCGCAGCGCCTCTGCACACTACCAATAACCATGTCACCACAACGCCCGTGTACACCGCAGTGCACGGGCCCTGCGTACGCGTCGTTGATTGCGTGCGCCGGAGCGCCCGCGTACTCCTTACAATGTCCTTTGGAAGCTTCAGAGATTCACGCTTGTGCCCGGTCTGCAAGCGTTGCCGTTACAG